TTGCATTGTGAATGGGCCTTAACAAGTGCTCATAGAGATAAGATAAGCTAAAGACTGTATATGGCGCTTTGCATGCATTCGGCAGCGCCTTTTAGAGGTCGCTGTCGGAATGTTAGCGTCGTTGCATGCCACTCGCCCTGGTGAGATGTAATGGCGGCACAACCAATAGAAAACATGTTAAAATGGTTCTAAATCATTGTGCGTTTCCTTCTCAAGGTCTCATAATGTAAGAGTTCCATTTTCTCTTCCTCGTCGGCCACCATCTATCTCTAGTACGCAATATTGGAGAAACTGAAATGTTCATGGTACTATTACCATACAAAATGTGGCTTTAAAAGCACATTCCGATGCACTTAAAAAATAAATTATTTTAAAAAAATTGACAGGTTGACTTATCAAATTTAATTTCTTCGTCTCCTTGGTTGCTACATTCCTACTGAAGTTGGCTAATGGGTGCATATATAATGTCTCCTCCTAGCTTATCACTTCTGGCAGCCAGAACAAATGTTGACACTAACCTAGTTCTGCATATGCTTAACATAGTCCTTTCTTTGAATAGTTCTGGCAGATAAAGGAACAATGGTTTTTTTCCTGGGTGTGTGCACAACTAATTAACGTTCTTTAGGAGGCCTTTCAGGCAGATCATTGCATCTTTCTTACGTGATCTCGTTTGCAACTGAAGAACTTCGGCCCATCCGACGAAGCAACACTAAGGTGCATCCCTAGCGTGAAGCTGCATGTGGTTGGATAACTTTACACTTCTAAGGAAGCTTTTCTGGCAGACAGGGCAATGAAAAGGTTTTTCCCCAGTGTGTATCCGCATGTGAGCAATTACATTACATTTAGTTTTGAAGGACTTCTGGCAGACAGAGCAACTGAAAGGCCTCTCATCAGTGTGAGTGCGCATGTGCACAACTAAATTTCCTTTTGTACTGAAGCTCCTTTGACAGACTGAGCAGTGGTTAGGTTTTTCTCCTGAATGGATACGCAAGTGCTCCAGCAAACTCCTCTTTTGAATGAAGCTCTTCTGGCACACGGAACAATTGTGAGGTCTCTCTCCTGTGTGGGTCCGCGTGTGCTCCACCAAACTTCTTTTCTGTATGAAGCTCTTCTGGCAGATAGAGCAATTGTGAGGTCTGTCTCCTGTGTGAGTTCGCATGTGTGTAACTAAATTCCCTCTTACATTGAAGCTCTTCTGGCAGACGGAACAAGAAAAGGATTTTTCACCGCTGTGAATACGTGTGTGCCTAGCCAAACTTGCTCTCAGCGAGAATCTTTTCTGGCACTCCGAGCAACGATACGGTTTCTCCCCAGTGTGTCTGCGCATGTGCACCACTAAACTGTCTTTGATTCTGAAGCTCTTCTCGCATACGGAGCAACGAAAGGGCTTTTCTCCCGTGTGTTTCCGCACGTGCGTGACTAACTGGTGATTGTTCACGAAGCTCTTCTGGCAGACATTGCAACGATGGGGTCTATCCCCTGTGTGTAATCGCATGTGTGTAACTAAGTGGTTGCTGTTTACAAAGCTCTTCTGGCACACGGAGCAAGAATAGAGCTTCTCCCCAGTGTGTATCCGCATGTGCAAAACTAAACTATCTTTACGAGTAAAGCTCTTCTGGCAGACAGAGCAGAGATGAGTGGGTTTCCTATCTTCGGCGTGCATCTGCATGTGCGTAACCAAATTGCCTCTCTCTCCGAAACTTTTCTGACACACTGTACACTGGTGAGGTTTTTCTCCGGAGTGGGTCCGCATGTGTCGAACCAAATTCCCTTTCAGAGAGAAGCACTTCCGGCAGACAGAACACACGTGCTCCTTTTCCCCGTGCTTCCTCATGTGCACTTTTAAGGTTCCCTTTTCTATAAAGCTCTTCTGACAGACAGAGCAAGCATATCGTTTTTCGCCGGTGTGAATTCGCATGTGCATACTCAAACGTCCTTTAGACATGCTTTTCTGGCAGATGGAGCATTGATCGGTTTCTTTGATTGCACGTTGCTCGTTGGCGGCTCTGTCCAAAGGCTGTGAATCGCTAGAGGTGTCCTCTGCGGCACATTCTCGACCTGCAGACATAATTAACTGAATTAGGAAATATATCTACACAGCTCTTACACACTTTTACAGAAGGCCTTGAAGCAATTTTCGAGTAATCATGAAGAGGTCACTAATTTGAAATTGGGCTATTTGCTATCGTAGACTCGAGTCGTTTCGTCCTTCGATTGATTGGCTATTCAGGGCGGGTCAACCGATTAGTGGCTACAAATTAGTGGACGTGATCTATTAGGGGACGCAAATCAGTGACTGTGATCTTCCTTAATGACATACGGTGTCGATCTACGTCAGCTTACTGGGATTTATCCCAACCAGGTATAACTTACCAGCGTAGCACCGCTCCAGCTGGGATAAGTTCTAAGCTGACGACTCTTGACATACGGGATAGTGCATGTTGGTGTTTGTATAAGAGGGAGGAAAGGACAAGGAAGAGGAAGGAAAGATTGCAAGCGGTCCGTGGCTTGTTTGTTAGGGTACTGCTCCGGCAATCGTCGTGTTGATCGGAGAAACCACGGAAAACTACGATCAGAGCATCCGACCGCTGGAATTCTCCTGACAGCGGCTGAAATCGGCCTAACTGATCAGCTCGTGTTGAAACACCATCTGGACTCGAACCCTAGGATCTCGCTGTCAGAGGCACTGGAGTGACATCAGTTTATGCCCTGAGTCACGTTTTACAGTCTCGTCCCTTGAAGTAATTCAATTTAGTCCCTCTAATGTTTGATACGGTGATTTGGATACTCTTCCTAGGAATTCAGCAATAACTGCATCTAAGGTTTCACCCCACAGTGTACCCAGAAACCTATGCAGATTATAAGTGTTTGAAATGTTTCTTATAATTTATCTCAGTTTTCTATTACCTGGTGTGTCAATTCGTAGAAACGAATAACTAACCAGAGAAAGGAGAAGAGGATTGGACACAGTAAGCATCTCTAAACTATCTTTATACTCACTTATTCTTTCACAATCCACTGCAGGAGAAATTGTATATGTATAAAACTTTCATTCTTATGTCTAGAAATTTATCATCACCATCTCGTTTCTTTTCCCCTTGGAAGCTTCTTCTTCTTCTTCTCCTCCAGGTATATAGGCACTGCCTGTTCCCCTCTAGTGTCACCCCATTGATTACTAAATTCCTTGGAAGCTTATTTTTTTTTAAATGATGCCGCTTATATTATGAAAGTTTATCTTAATTAACAAACTAATTGCATTCAATTTTTAATTAACTTAAAAGATATACACTACTAATTAATAATTTAAATTTTAACAAGTTATTCTTTTTCCCAAATAACAATGCTTCCAAAAAGTTAATTATAAATCAGCAATAAGGAAAAGTGGTGTTACACAAACTGGGTTCTAGTAACAGTTCTTTTAAATTTGTACACCAGTGACCTTCTCAGTTCTCAATTCAATGCACATCAACAGCACCAAATATTACTCCAATCCTTTAATTATTATCCCAATCCTTAAATTACAATCATCCAAACTGACTTTGAGATGACTGACATGACACAACAGAAAAAGGAACAAGATTTCGAACATTTAAAAAAACAGAGCACTCTAAAATACTGGGATTCCCACCCTATTGCTTCAAAAAAAAGATGCAGACACTGGGCAAATCTAGTGATGAACATGCAAAATTGCAATGTCTCACCACTGATTAAGGGTCATGTTCCAAATACGAAGAGTATGCAAGTCTTTCATGAAGAATGGTAATTCTGAAAATTATTATTAGTATTGAAAATATCAGACTAGGTTAAAAAATAGAAATTACCCTCTAAAATACACATTATATTGGATAGCGTAACACATTAATAGAGATTGGAAGTTTGGCAAAATGTTTTTATTATTGTTACAATTTTAAGACTTTTGATTAAAGGAATCACTTAGCTAACTAAACATCTGATGTTGTTAGTTTGTTTTTCCTTACTTTGCCTATTTTAGCTTCTGATACCTATTTTTTGTATGTTGACTTTTTTCTTCCTTCTCTGTTATAATTTTCTTTGTTTATTTTTTTTTTTCTTTCCTTTTCTTTTTTATTCTGCAGACACTAATCTCCATCAAGCTGGAAATGTATCTTCAAGACTAGACAATATGAAGGCACTATCCAATTTTCTTTCTCTGCAAGTTTAGGTACGAATTATTGAACTTGGGCTCCAAAATATGTTTTAATTTCTTTCATCAACATCATTCGCAAACGAAGAATACCCATCTTACCTTTGAGTGCAGTCTTCGATCACTTTAGAGAACAGATCTAGGTACATTTATGATAAAACACTTCTCAGTGCTGGAGATTATATGTGGTCAAAGAACAAAAAAAAGGAATAATATATTAATTAATATAACATATTAATCCAGGATTTACAGGTGAACAACAGAATTTTGTAGAGGCTTTGTTACAAGAGAAACAAGGAATTTGTATCAAAATTTAGTGTGCCACTAAGAATAATCTTCAGTATTACAACTGAAAAATCATGTCTGCAAGGCAGAATAAAAAACATCTGTTAATCAAGTGCAATACAGATTACTGGAAGAGAGATTGTTTCTTTCATGAATTGCATACATAAATTTTAGAGTTGGAGTAAAAATTTAAATAATTTTCATTATTGCGAATATTTTGCAATAACTTCTTTTAAATGTTTCATTGGGTCCCTGTCTTTTTGCCCCCCTATTTTAGCTAAAATAAATTATTTTTTGTGAGCCTATTTTTGTAAAAATAAACGTCCTTTTGCCTGCTTATTTGAGGTAACATAAATGTCTAAACTTCCAGGCTCTACACATTAGCTTGCTTTTGCAAGTCAAAATTCTCAGATGCTGCAATAACTTTGATACAGCAAATAAAACTAAAAAAAACCTTCAAACTAAACAATGGCAGAAAATTTTTGTATTGTGAAGTAAGTATCTTTACTTCTGGGAATAAACTCTCAAGATTCACTATTTTGTGTTCACCCACCTGATTCTGAAATTTCTTCACTTACACTTGCATCAGAAAAATCGGCTGGGTCCTGCAACAGGATAAATCCTCAATGAAACATTTGAGAATGCAACAATAATATAATTGTAATACCACTCTTTATTAACAAATACTTTTAGGACTGGGCAAAAAGGTAACCAATACAAAATGTTTAAATGATTAATCAATCCCATGACTAATGAAATGCATCTGTGAAGAACAACTCTACGAAAAGTCAGTTTTAATCAGGTTATTTACCATGGATTTGCAAACTCTGGTTAAGAAACTGTTTTCAATCATTCAAGCAAAAAGAACAACTCTCTGGTAAGTCTACAGTTTTCACAATAGTAATTCTGTATTTAACCGAATATTAGACAAGGTTTCTTCAAAAATATCTGAGTTGAAAAATGTGGGGTCGCCTTATATTCACAGATTAAGCTTTCTTGGTCAAGGTTTAAGTTCTACTCCATGTCATGAAACTTGTAAATGTTGACATAACAATAAACAGCAAAGTAGGTAAACATCACACATATCTACAACACACAATTATATTCACATTCATATTCTCGGCATCCAAAACGAATTTGCCGGGCAATTTAGACCAATATTTTTGAATGGATCATTAAAGAGAGAATCTCATGACGAACGGCATTGTATCAAATGAAAGGTCATGTGAAAATTAACGCTGAGATTTTGTTGTATGATGTGAGTTCAACAAGGGCATGCAGAATCTCGGTTCAATGCTCAGCAAATGCAAAACTGTGTTTTGAACAGCCATCAAAATGTATGGGACGGACAGAAAATTTGGCAACACAGAAAGCAATCTTCTTAGGTGGCATCTGAAGAAACACTTAGAACAATGCACATTTAGTCCGCAAAACTTTCAGAGACCTATAATGTCAGAAGATGTCGCAGCATGGAAGTAGGAGAAAAAAGAAAGAAATATTGATACATGTGAAGGTGATGAGGGTAATCACAAAAACATGATAATGATTTTAAGGAACAAGAAAATGATAATTCAGCAATAAGTTGTAACGTTTTCACCAACAATGCAATTCTCTAGTCAATAAGAAATTTGTAACTTTATTTTGACAAAATAGTAAGTAGTAGTTAAAAATAAAAATAAAAATTATCAGGCGGCCTCTGGACAATTAGGGGGGTTGTCTTATATTTACAGTCGACTTATATTCAGGTAAATATTTATGTATATATATCAGTGACAAATTTCCTACAAGTAGTGTTCAATTTCCTGCTCTATTTCACTCCCAGCCATTTCAAAAAGCACATGCTCACAACTGGGATCGAAATGCCTTGAGCACAACTTAAAAGACTCAACAAGAGTCATTAAAACTACTTACTGAAAGAGAAAAAGCAAAAGCAAAAAAGCAAAATAGCTATTTCTCCTAAGCAGACGTTATTCTCTAATTCCACAATAAGATGACATCCAACAGGAACAAATCCTCTTTAATTAGTTAGTGCCTTACTTTATGTGGCAAGTATTGGGCAATCAGACCTGCTCTTCCATCTGACCAATCACATTTCGCTATCCTCCTTTCACCATCCAGCGGAGATAGAAGGTAATACTCAGGCAATTTTGAATTTAACTCAGAGGCTTCTTTTACATTTTTACATGCAGTAAATTTACAACATGGGACAGCCTGCTTTCCTTCCTCATCTGAAAGAAGGCGTACGAAGGATTTTTTTCATCCTTAAAAATCCACAGCTTAGAATCTACTGGCACCATGAAGTTTGTAAGAAAGAAACATAACTCGAGTGATGGGGGTACATATAGAAAGCATCAGCTGTTAATTTTAGCACATTTGCTTCAACGCCATCACACAGTGAATGAATAAACTTATTTTAGTTTTGCTGGCCAATATCAACAAGCATACACATATTTGACCAACACCCACCTACACTTATGATTAGTGTTAAGTAGATGGCACTGACTTGACACATGAGCGTGCTGGCCATTGGTCAAAAATGCCTTAAAAATTCTTCTCCTATTGACAGTGTGATGTCACTGAAGCAAATTAGTTTGATTAGCTGCTGACAATTTTCTTACATACCCTCACATGCCTTCAACTCTGGGATTGAGTTTCTTTCTTACAAACTTCATGACTTGCGCAAACCAACCATTAACCAAACCATAAATCAAATATAAACCAATAATTAACTGATTCATTCCCTCTACTTTAGGATATGTTTTCAAAAAGGCACTTAATATTTCTTTCACTCAAATTCTTCCAGTCCCCATTAAATATCAAATTCTTCTTTAAGACTTCTTTTGATTTTAAATACAGCAGACAATTTGCAATAAAATAATAAACTGAAACAATGTCCCATTTTTATTCTCACCTCATCTTCCTCTTCAACCTCCTCTTTGGGCTCCTCCTTGGTCATTAGGAACACTGCAACTGGGTGAGCTAATTCTTCCTGCAAATGAAAAATCACCATCACTTTCTCAAGCATGAAATACTGAATAGTTGTAATAATTTTGTGTGGTATAAATTTAATTTCTCTGGGGAAACTAATGTCTCCTGAATTTGAATTGATCATAACAATTCAATTTCCATTTAATTGAAAAAA